GAATATTAGCCGCAGGATTTAGCTAGTGTAAAAATTCACAAGTTAGATTTTCTAAATCTTTTTGCAAATCTATTTTGGTGTTCTGACAAGCAAGTTCAAATACGCGATTGTTTTTTTTTAAATTTTACAGCCGCCTCCAGTTAATCTTGAGGTCGATTTTCTTGATTTTGGAGTGGTGCGACCGAACCAAATTCTTACGAAGAATACGCACATGCGTAATCCCTCCTCTGCCACACTGACGTGGTCTACTAACTGCCCACAAGAGGTCTGTCGAGATTCTCCATCTTATGTTCAGTCTAAAACTCTCCCAAATAGTCAATTCTACTCTTTAAAATGACAGAGCAATTCTCCATTCACCATCGAACCTTCAGAAGGCACTATTAAACCGAAACATGAACAGGCAATCTTGGTAACATTTCATCCGGAAAGTGTTGATCGCTTCCAGGAGGAGGTTGAATTCAGAGTAAAGGGAAATTCATCGCCTCCAAGGTAAAAATGGGAAAGGAGTTTATTTTTAGATCTATAGTTACAATCTCAACTTACTATTTACTTTTGCTTACAAAGAATTCTCAGTTTGATTGGAGAGGCCCAAACTCCCAATGTTACAATGGAACCGCAGGAAATTCAAATCGGCCAAATTTATGCGACTTTTCCCCAAAATTTCACCATAAAACTGACGAACTCTTCTTTGGTGCCGACCAAATTTTGGTGGCTTACAGTATGTTTGTCAAATTTAAATATTTTAGAGTTTAAAAATACAAACTTGTAAGATTTAGCCAATTATACATTGGATGAAATTGGAATTATTTATCACATTCAAACAACCAGATAAATATGTTCGTACCCTATTAAGTAAACGTAAAATGACCACGAAGAACTTGTCAGATTGTTCTTAGACTTTTTGAACTACAACTTTTTGTTTGGTCTAAGTTTATGCAATCATTTCGATCTTCAATGGTGATTCAGAAAAGGCATACAGATCCATCTTAGAAGAATTTCTATGAGAGGCAAAATCAGCTTAACACTCAGTCGAAAATCAGGACTAGTTTGTTAGAATAGGACTTTATTTCCAGTGGGGAAAAGTTTTTGGTTAGTTCACATCTTCCAACTGCATCGCGCTGAAAAGAGCCGTAACTTTAACGGTGCATATAGTTCCCCATTAGTTGAATTATGCTTGGTGCAGAGGCGTGTAAGGAAATGACTGTTTCATTTGTGATAATGTACATCATCCAACATTGAAACATTGTTGATTCTTTGCGCTATAAGTCTGTCTCTATCTAACTGGCTCTGAGTCGGCCAGTGGACCAGACACTCGCGACACCACTCCTCCACAACGCGGCATGAATGAAGGAGGTGAACAGCAGACTGCCAATCCACGAGGAACACTGGCCACCACACACGAAACAATCAGTCGCTTAGCTGCTAGCACAACCCACTCCTCCCTCCCTTCCAGTCCTCACCTTCATCAAGTGATCTTTGCTGCGAGTCGACTCTCACCCACTCTCCTTCCATCACTCGACTGCACACGTAGTCCCCCATGATTACGCCAGTAATGAAGGGTGATGAGACCTTCCGCTATTGACGTAGCACACTCACTTCCGACTGCTTTATCACCATATTATAGACATTTACTAGAAGTACTTGATTACGAACACTACGACATTATCCTAGTCCCTTTCATCAAGCATGTTCGGCGACGAT